ATGTATTATCCATACATCATATAATGTATATATTATATATATTTATATTATCTATTCATAATATATACATAGTATATATATGTATAATATATCTATCGTGCTTGTTTTAGTTCCTTTCCCTTAAAATGCTAGTCTGCTGTTTAATGAATTGGTAAATTATTCTGAGAACTCATGACACTATTTCAAGAACTAGAAATGCCCTCTAGTGTTGCCAACAGCAGAGTTTGTAATGACTGCTGTCATTATTCATTTATAAAAAGTTAATTCAAAGGTAAAAAAATTATTTAGTAAATGTTGAAACTTTATTTAAAAAAGGAATTTTAATCAACAAGAAAATGTCTGAAAATGAGGCACACTAAAGGAATTTCATGTTTCCCTTGTGAAGTTAAAAAACATTACACTTGACATTAATGAAAAGATCATAGAATGATGCAGAAACACTAGATAATTTATGTGGGACTATCTGAGAAGCCTTGAAATAGTACATGTAAAACTCAATTTGAAGGCATTATACAAAATAATTTTTAGAACAGAATTCTTTTACTCAGTAAATTTGGAAATTAAAACAACCCTAATGAATTCCTTTCATTTGAATTTGGAAAAGGAATATTGGATGGCCATGTGTGTATACACACGACATACATAATAAGGGTACTGAGATGCTAAGATGGCCTCATAATTTTTACAGGTTTGTATATCTAAGATAACTCTGTTTATTAGTGGCACAGCAGGAACTAGGTCTCGGATTTTGTGCTTTTAAGTATTCTTTACATGGCTCTTGTCTCCCTAGGGCCTAAGTAGAATGATAGCGTAATTCTTTTAGGCTACCACGACACTATATTAATAACTAGTGGTTTTCAATAGACAACTGTTGACTGGTTACATTATAACTAATTGTGGTCATGGGAAACCATACTTGTATTGAAATAATTTTCTCTCATTCAGCATCTTAAAATGAAAACAAAAATTTCTGTATTGCAAAAAAAAAAAAAAAAAGGCACTAGGTTATAAAGTATCTCTAGATGGCATCTCTAGAAAGCCTTTGAGTGACTGCTGAAATTCAGCTACAGAGGTCCCAAAGCTTAGATGAGAATTTCACAGACTTTCTTTTTTGTTTAGCAGTAATAATAAAAGCTCTTTACATACCACTCTGAAATATATATTGTATGTATTTTAAGCACCATCTGCAATTATTTCAGTTGGCACAACTTTATGAATGAAGTAGGATATTTTCAAGATGAAGAAATTATCATTATTGTTATTATTAACTAAAACAACATTTGGAGCCCTTTCTATGCACTTCAATGAAGAAATTATCATTATTGTTATTATTAACTAAAACAACATTTGGAGCCCTTTCTATGCACTTTCCATATGCTACTCTTTTAGCATTTTTATATATCAAATAATGTATTTTTTCACAAGATATATACTCTTATTATCCCCATTTTACAGGTAAGGAAACTGATGCACAGTAGAGTTATGCAGCTTTCCTAAGATTGAAAAGCTGGTAAGTGTCAGAGTTAACACTCACACCCAACCAGTATGACTCTGGAGCCCAACTTCTTAACTACTACAACTTGGTAGTTTTAAATGTAAAACTGCTCCATATAATTGTCTTAAATGACATTTATAATGTATATAATATGCATGACAGGCATTATGTGCTTGTTCTGCTCGTATTCACATTTCTTGGTATCTCAGAAACTTGCAGATCTTTCCACAGCAGTTTCTCATTTTAAATAAGCTATACAAATAATAAGACTTTTTCAGTCTCTACTAACTGTAAAGAAGGTCAGTCTAATTTTTACATCAAAATGAACAATCTCATTTCATGAGGAATATGAACGGATTAAAATTAATATACTACAGATCAATTTCAAGATATCCTTAAGAAAGGACTGCTTTGTTTTTATAATATCATAAGCCACTATACTTTATTATAATTACTTGCTTAATGTCTATGTTCCCTGCAAGACCTATGGAATCACATCAGTCTTATTTATGACTATGCCATGCCTAGTGCAATGACTGACATATAGCAGGTTGTTGGTAAGAATGTGTTGAATGAATAAATGTGATTTGCTATTCTATCTGTTAAATTTACTTAAAATTTACTAAAAATTTACTTAAAAAATAATGATCTCACTATAAATAGTAGCTCAATATTTTTCGTAATACCTATTTCACATAAAGTTTTACATATTAATAATTATCAATATCATGATTTTACAAGCTGTAACATAAATTTCCTTTAAATAATCCTTGTGACTTATACCAGCAGGAACTCCTTCTTTGTAACTTCTTTGTAACTTCTGCCAAATTTTTAAGAATGGATGTAGAAAGACACCCCATTTTATTTTCTACATTTAAGAGGTTCTTTCTCATATTGAACTAAAACATTATTTTCCTTTCCATATCTTTAAACAGTAACTTTTATTTAAATTTTTCTCATTCAAACTTCCAATTCATTTCTTCTAACACCATTGTAATTCACAACTCCTTTCTTCTGACAGTAGAAACTCCCAAATTCAAAACAAAAGGCATTATACTCCAACATACACAGCCAATCAGACATTGATTGTTTCCTATATTGAGAAGTTATACAGTTAAAAACTGACGACTATTGGTAGAATTTTGTTTTAGAAAGAAGTTATTTCAAATTCATTTCAATAAAAGAAATGCTATGTATCATCCTCCATCTGCAATATTTACATAATTATGTGTTTTAAATATCTTTTTGGGGCTAAATACCAAATTCTTCACTGGGCATCGTAAGCCCATCAAAGCCACTTAAACAGAACCAAAAAGAGCTGTCAAAGAAAAATGAATACCACGTACATTCCGAGGCACGTTACCCAGGAAGGAGTATTTCTTCAAGACACTCTGGAAGGTATGGGAAGGACATCTTTCTCCTAGCACTGACAAGGGGGACTGCCTAGTTCTCTAAGTGGAGACCTTCAAATCAGAATACTTGAACTCAGGTTGGTGACTTTGAGTATATCCAGAAAAAAGCTAAATTTGTAAGTCACTGCAGAGATGAAGCGTAAACATTCAGATATCCAAATGCTCTTTGGATTTTATTTTCCAAAACGTAATCGACATGTATGCTTCTGCGTGTGTGTATATGAAAAACATAAATGTTACATTCCCTTCTTTAAAAAAGAGATAAAGTTGACTTGATTAAGGAAAAAAGTATACTACCTTTAAAAATGTCTGCATGTAACAATTTTAAGTTCAGTTGAGGAAATCAGTGTCCCTCTTCAGGGCATTCCTTCTTGAAATCCTATAAGAACTCTCCCATAAGTGAAATTCTCACATAAGCATGCTGCTTTGACAGGGCTTTATTGTAAATTCTTAAGAAATCTAAGAAAATAGAATAGCAGCATAAAAATGTATTTCTCTATGGTTAGAATTTAGTCTTTCTAATGCCTAGCTTAGCAGATATTAATAGAATTAACTTTAAAAGTTGAAAAGCAAGTTATCAATTCACTCTAATAAATAAATGTGTAGGTTCTATGCTTTATTTATACACTAACTTTATTGTTCCTACCCTTGTAGAAACTTACGCCATTTCACAGTATTGGTTCCAGTTGCGGTGTGTAATTATACCTACACTGTAATCACCATTGGCACCGGAAGTTCAGTAACAATTAGGGAATATCTGTTTTTAACCCCACCATTTTATTCTCAGCATCTACCTAAATGGATGACACATAGTAGACAGACTATACAAATATGAATTACTAGACAGATGGACTAAAATATGAATGTTGCCATCTCAAGTACTTAGTTCACTGTAAACATTGGAATGATTACATAATGACAGATGCTGTGCTGGGTGCTTGTCACAAGAGCTCTTCCTGATATGTTTGTTATTAAGCTCTAGAAAGCAGCTAAGAACATGGCCAGATTCAATTAACATAATTTTGACATCTCTAATTGGGCATGAAAAATTACTCCAACTATGTGAATCGCAAAAATCACACATTTGACAATAGAATGGTTAATAGAATTATAATATATTATTAATATGCTAATCTTCATCAGCCATCATCTTGTTATCACAAAACTACTATGTCCATGGACGCGCTGGAATAATCTCAGATAGACAACAATCTTAAAGATTTCAAACTTGCTAAGATCCTACCTCCATTCTTGTCCAAAGTTAATGTAACTAATCATGGATCTGATTGGACACAGACGTCCAAAAAAAGGGATATGCAGGAATCAAATATATTCAGGAGAAAAATATAAATTTAAGGTCATTTGAAGCATATGAAAAAGTAACCAAATTTAGAAATTATTTTCTCAGTGGGAGTATGTGTAAGGCAGGAGGGAGATGTCTGATTCTATCACCAAAATTTGATTCTGTACCATACTATGAACAGCTACTCCACTTTGTTTTGGGTATACAGTATAAACGTCTAATCTTACAAATTCAATAGTTTCCACCAAAGTATAGCAGCAATTACACACTTTTAAAGAATTACTGTTAAACTGAATGGATTTTTGTCATATATTATACTTTTTTCTTTCCTATTTTGCAATGAAAGTAAAAAACAAAACAGCATTCAACATACTACTGCAAAACTTGTCTACTTTAAGAAGCACTTATGAAACTGAACAGAAAAACTCAGTTTAGTACAAATTTTTTAAAAGTTAAACTTCAGTAAAGCAATATTTGTAATACATTATCTTAAATAACTACAATAAAACTACAAAAATTGAATTTTTAAACCACACATGAACTATATAATTGATTTTCCATACTTTTATACTATTTATAAACATTAAGTATGTAAAATCTCTTATCTATAAAACCATTCTTTGCATATATTTTATTAAAATATAAGTGACAGACATATATAAAATTCAAACACTTGTCATTATGTCCTAGATTTTAAAAGTTCTAAAATTTTAATTCAAATATAATAAATTGGTAGGCTTTACACACAGACACACACACACACACACAGAATTTAAATGAAAACTCTTACCATTGACTTCCTTTTGATAGTCACTCCAATAGTCTTTCTTGATAGTGCTTTCCTATATCAAGCAGACAGTAGCCAAATCACAAAATGACATTTGGATGATCATGTCTTCAGATGGGAGTTTTCGGCCAATTGCCAGTTGAGAATTTAAACTGAAAACTAAATTACCCAAACTTTATTAAGTTGTTCCCACACCCACCAACTGATAACAGCAATAATTCTAAACTGGAAAATAAGGTGAATATGATTTACCTCCTGTTCAAAGAGTCCTAATATTATATTTGAGAAGACATGCTATATTAAAAGAATCCCATAAAATTCTAGTATCTTCTGAAAATGCTTTTAAGAAAATCTCAATCCCTCACCAAAAAGTTACCCCAATTATCCTATAACCCAAATTAATACATGATAAAGATGGTATTAGATGACATAATAAATTATAGAGTCACAAACCTAGGTTCTGTCAAGCACTGCCTTCACCTAAAAGCTAACTGTAATGTCTGGAAACACTCTGACAGTATCATCAATATTTATATTTATTAAATAATCAACTAATTGTAAAACTATATACTACAAGAAGTTAGAGGTTACACTTTAGTGTAACCCTGCCTGATCATGATACTTTTTGACAAAATTTATGGTTACCAACTTCTAATTATAGTACAAAAATGACTCAGCTCCTTTTCTGTTCCAATTTAGACTCTTTTTCTCTTGATTCTTACGGCTGCTCTTCATAGGGCCTGTCAATTATATATGATTTTCGACCATAGGCTTTATGATTATTGGGTTGTACAGTCTGTTTTGATCGTTCTTAAATATTAGACACCTTAAATTATTCCCAAATGTTAAGATATATCTCAGTGCCCTAACATAATTTGTGCTCAGCTATAAGTTGGCTCATTTCAATAGTTATTATTGACAATTCAAGTCTTTAGCAAAAATACAATCAAATAAAGCTAAACTGAAAACACGAAGGAAAGAAAAACATGTCCTTATCTTCCTTAAAAATTGTTTCTGAATTTTAACTATAAAAGATCCAAAATTAAGTGTACATAACTAGACAGCTATGTAAGACTCAGTTGAGTTATAAACATTACACACACCTCAAATTCTCATATATTCTATGTGTAATCCTTCTCTCTCTCTTTCACATACATGTGCATGTGTACACATGCATGCGTATCTATCCAACCTATTCCTGATGTTTACCTATCAATAACCTGATACCAAGGCATTGTATAAGATAATATAAAGTGAATAATCGGCTTATGATTAAGAAAAATGGACTTCAGAAACAAAGCCTAGAGCTTAAACTGTTGTGTCTTTGAGTTAATAACACCGACCCCCAGTTAGATATACTAGAAACAGCATTAGTCTATTCACTCCAATAATTTAAATCCAAAATTCTCAATAGCAATAACATTTGTAAACTATTCAGAGACTAACAAAGTTCTTTCCTGGGTGCTATGAGATACAAAGGAAAGGAGCTTATAACCTAAAACATGATGGGGGAGAGTGAGTGGTACATAAAGACACAGAAATGGATAGATTTCCAAGAAAGAAGCAAGCACATTGGGGCAGTTTAATAGTTTGAATAGGTTTATCACATGTGGAACTGATCTGAGAAGACTTTATAACAAGAAGCATTTTTAAAGCAGAAAATATATAACTACGTTTTTCTTATTTAGCCTAATGAAACCCACAAAGCAAACTGTGATTAATACGGAATACAGCTATGGAAGTATTCATGTCCTCACTCTGGAAGAAGACCAAAGGTAAATTCCTTAGTCAAATGAAATTACAGAACATAGAGATATCTCCTCCATCAACCCCACACCCCCCAAAATCAGGCCTTCAGTATGGCAGAAACAATTCTAAATTGTTTATTTCAACTCTTCCCAATGATTCCAATCATAATGGCTGTAATTTAATTTTAAATCAGGAGACATAATGAAAAGTCACTATCAGATTACAAAATCATGAATTAAAAACCACAGAATGATCCTCTTGGTGTGAATAACATTGCTGATAACATATCTACACAAGAAAGCTGGTTTCATATTCCAGCAGATGATGATCATGAAGTGACTTGTGTTTTTATATAATCTTAACTATATTCTACTCATCCATTATAAGAGTTTTACAATTTGGTCAGGCATGGAGGCTTATGCCTATAATCCCAACAGTTTGTGAGATCAAAGTGGGGAAAACTGCTTGAAACCAGGAGTTCAGACAAGCCTTGGCAACAAAGCAAGACCCAGTCTCTACAAAAAAATTTTTAAAAACAGTCTTGGAATTTAACACCACACACAATTTTACAAATAAAGAAACAGGTCCAGTCATGTGACATTATTTACCCAAAGTCACACAACTAGCTGGCAGCAAAATTAAAACCTCTGAAGAACCACAGATGCTCCTTTTACTACAATCAGAGAAAGAAACTGTTATACCTTAGAAAGAGATATAATTTTATTAGGAAAATTTCAACTTTTTAACCTACATACTCAGTTTCAAACATTCAGCACGTTAGCTCCAGAAATTGCAAAAAATCAATTCATAAAGTTAGGGAAAGAAAGTTGTATGATTAATTTAAATTTTATACTTCTCTTTTTATACTATTAGCTTTAAGACACACACTCAGCGTTATATCCAACTCTTCAGACTAAGAATAGGGGTTTTTAAAAATATGCAAAATTTTAATCAAAATTCTCTCTAAAAAAGATAATTCCCTAGAATGTTCCATGGCATCACATCTATTTTTCTTTCACATCCTGGCACCCTTTTTCACTGAATTGGGTAACAAAGTAAGCCTGCCACATGGATAGCAGTAGAAACAGTCTTATCTTGACTGCTTCAGGTGACATAACTCATCCCAACTTTATATAAATGAGCAGCAAGAGAAGTTCAGAAAATTTGTAAACAGGATATATAAAAAGAAATATCTGCAAATCATACATTTAACAAGGGGTTAATATCTAAAATATTTAAGAAACTCAAACAACTCAATAACAAAATAACAAATCGCCCAATTTTTTAAAATGAGCAAAGAACCTGAACAGACATTTCTCAGAAGACACATGAGTAGCCAACTGGTGCAAGAAAAAATGCTCAGCATCACTAATTACTAGAGAATTACAAATTAAAACCGCAATGCAATATTACTTTATACCTGTTACAGTAGCTTTTATTAAAAAGATGAAAGGTAAATGTTGGACAGGGTGTGGAGAAAAGATAACTCTTACAAGTACATTGTTGGTGGGAATGCAAATTAGTTCAGCTATTATGGAAAATAGTATGGAGGTTTCCCCAAAAAAACTAAAAATAGAACTACTGTATGATCCAGTGATCCCAATTCTGGTTATATATCCAAAGGAACTGGAGTCAATATGTCAAAGCGATATCCGCACTCCTATGTTCATTGTTGCATTATTTACAATAGCCAGGATATGGAAACACCTAGGTGTGTATCAATGGATGAAATCAAGAAAACGGAGTACATAAACACAACAGAATACTATTCAGCATTTAAAAAGGGGAAAATTCTGTCATTTGCAACAACATGGATGAATCTGGAGGATATTATGCTAAGTGAAATAAGTCAGGCAGAGAAAGACAAATACCGTATGATCTCACTTATGTGTGGAATCTAATAAGGCTAAATTCATAGAATTCGGTAGAGAATAGAACAATGGTTACCAGAGGCTAGGGTAGGAGGGTGGTGGGGGAAGTTGATCAGGGGGTACAAAGTTTCAGATAGAGAGGAAGAGTAAGTTTGAGATCTATTGCGTAGCAAGTTGACAAGAGTCAATAATAATGTGTTAAGTATTTCAAAATAATAAAGTAAATTTCAAACGTCTCACTATAAAATATTACAGGTGAGGTGACAGATATGTTAATTAGCATAAGCACATCACATTGTATACATATATCAAAACATCACAATGTACCCCATGAATGTATGCAATTATGATTGGTCAATCAAAAATATTAATTTTACAAGAAAAATAAACAGGAGATTAAAAAAAGAAAGAGTTGAAACACTTTAGATTTAGTTGTAAAGATATGTCCTCCACTAACTCAATTTAGATTCCATTGTCTATTCAGAATCAGAACTTACAAGATGTTTCTAGTAAAGCACAACATGCTTGTTTGTTCAACTGGTTTCAAAAGTCAAAGCACTTACTAGGCAACACCTAAAATCATTCATCAAAACTATTTTGGACAGGCAGTGATGTTAAACAAATTACTTCCACCATACTACCACCACAGTCACCTCTTTCACTACCTACTCCACTTCCCATAGTCTATGAACTAAAAGGGTATAAAATATTCTTATCATTTATTATTAAAAAGATAAATATTTTAGCATATAAAACCAAGAATTATGCTACTAAAACAGACAATATATGCTTAATGAGTTTTACCTGAATTACATTAGATCACAAAGTAACATCTCAATACACACACAAATATTCAGAAAAAATTTAAAAAACAACACAACAAAAAATAATACAAATAAAAATCAATATAACAGCGATTTACATAGCATTTATATTATATCAGTTATAATAAGTAAGCTAGAGATGATTTAACGTACACGAGAGGATGGGTGGGTGCAGTGGCTCACGCCTGTAATCCCAACACTTTGAGAGGCCAAGGTGGGAAGATCGCTTGAGCCCAGGAGTTTAAGACTAGCCTGGGCGACACAATGAAACTCTATCTGTACAAAAAAGTTCAAAAGTTAGCTGGGCATGGTGGTGCGTGCCTGTGGTCCCAGCTACTTGGGAGGCTGAAGTGGGAGGATTGAGCCCAGGAGGTCAAGGCTGCAGTGAGCCATGATTGTACCAGTGCACGCACTCAAGACTGCATGACAGAGCAAGACCATGTCTCAATAAATAAATAAATAAATAAAGTACATGAGAGGATATGCATAGGTTATATGCAAATACTATGGCACAGTATTTGGATTTTGGTATCTGAGGGTGTCCCGGCACCAACCACCTGAGGATACTGAGGGATGACTATATATATAATATCATGTATTTTAGAAAGTGT